CTCTGGCCCCACCCCTAACCCCCACCCCCGAGTGCACAAATTTTTGTGCACCGGGCTACTAGTATAAATATATTTAAACAAATAAAAATAAAATTTTTTTTTAAAGAGTTCCTGTCAGGAAACCACAATGCTCCTGGTGATTGCTCTTGTCACTCTTGACCCATTGCAAAGCATCCACAGTTGTATGATTGTTATGCACAAGGTCTTAACCAGTCTCACAATAAACCATTCTCTGGTTGTTGTTTTTTTATATTTTTATTTCAGAGAGGAAGGAAGAGGGAGAAAAATAGAAGCATCAATGATGAGAGAGGATCACTGATCGGCTGCCTCCTGCATGCCCCCCTACCAGGAATGGAGCCCGCAACCTGGACATGTGCCCCCAACCAGAATCGAACCTGGGACCCTTGGGTCCGCAGGCCGGTGCTCCATCCACTGAGCCAAACTGGCGCTAGGCCATTCTTTGGTATTTTACAAAGATGTCATTCTTGGCTTCTAAACTGAAAATCATTTGTGCCCAAGCCATCATTTTCCATTTATACATCCTGTTTAATTAGAAAGTAGTTTCTAAAGTGTCCCATTTTTTTAAAATATATTTTTATTGATTTCAGAGAGGAAGAGAGCGGGAGAGATAGAAGCATCAATGATGAGAGAGAATCATTGATTGTCTGCCTCCTACATGTCTCCTACTAGGGATCGAGCCCACAACTGGAATCGAACCCCGGACCCTTCGGTCCACAGGCCAACACTCTATCCACTGAGCCAAACCAGCTAGGGCAAGTGTCCAATTTTTTAAATCTAATTTGAAGTGGCAGATGGCAGACATACACATGACCTAAATGTCTCAATCCTTTTTGCTTACTCATGTACGCAGGTCCTTTGGTAAAGCCAGCTGCTGGTGTTGGAGGCAAGCAGGCCTCCTGGGGAACCCAGGCCTCATTTGTTTCATTGCTGCCACCCGCTGGGGCCTGGACTCTGGAATGTGAAGGCTGCTCAAGTGGTGGAACTAAGCCTGTCCAGATCCAGATAAGGAACCCATTTGTGGTTCCAGTGCTAATCAGCTATTGTTTCTAGGTGACAGCCTGCCCCTAAATGAAAGGACTTTATAAACTGTAGAGCATGATACCTGGGTAGGGTGGTGTGTTAGATTATGTTGGCTGATGCAGTGGTGGGGCTCTGGAGAACACTTCAGGGACTCAGACATCCTGGAGAATTAGAGTTGTGAGAGTCCTTAAAGCAGATGCTGTGGAACAACTTAAATCAGAGTCTCTTAGGGGCTTTTGAAAATGAAGATTCCAGGACCTGACCCCAGAGATTTTGATTCACTAGGCCCAAAATTGGGTTTATTTAACAGGCTTCCTGTGCGGTTCTGATACAGGTAGTCTAGCACCACACTCGAGAAGGACATTGCCTTAAACATTATCTAGGGAATATCACCATTTTTCTAATTAGTGCCTCATTTCAATACATTTTTAAAAAGTATTACATCTTTCATCAATGGGATGAGTCACTGTAATACTATAACTTGTTCTTTGAAGCATACACACAAAAGTTATTGTTGGATTGGTTTGTTCTGTAGCAAAAAAAAAATCACTGTCAAATAATTGACTTTTCTCCTTCTAGAAAGAGGTACAGTACTATAATTTATGCTGGTCAATTTATTGTGGGATACTTTCTGGCCTTGGGAATTGGCAAGCAGAGGTCGGATTTAGTATTACATTTATCATAGCTATCATTTCCATGAATCATTTGGTTAATATCTATTGAATTTATGCAGGATGCCCTACATTATCACTTACCTCTTTCTTTCAGAGGAGCCAAGCACAGGAAAGCTGCCACCCCCATGGTTTTTCCCATGTCTTATTATCACTTTTTTTTCCCCTTTTTTTATTGAATTTATTGGGTTGACACTGGTTAACAAAATTATTCAGGTTTCAAGTGCACAATTCTATAATATATCATCTCTACACTATATTATGTGTTCACCACCCCAAGTCAAGCCTCTGTCCATCCTCATTAATCCCTTCTTATACCCTCCTCCACCCCTGTCAACCCCCCACCCCCCGCCTCCCAGGCAATCACCAAACTTACACTTCTTTTCCCTTACCCTGTCTTGACAAGCTTGGCCAAGATACAAGAGTATACAAATAATGACTTTCTTTATTACACAGGAAAAACAAGTGTCCTGATAGCTAGTTTGAAAACTCACCTTAGAACTGAGAATTCTAGATGCCTCTCATGTGCTTGCCTCATAGAATATTATTGTTCCAAAATACTTGTCACTTTTTATGTATGTTTCTAAAATGACTGGTTTAAGAATAACCCTCTCTAACTGTGAACTGAGTGAGGCTGCTGAACTCAGGGGCAGATCACACTTGGTGTACAGTGTCATCTTAATAAACATTGGGCACCAGTAATTTTCTAGTGTAATTTCATCTAGACCTTTTTAGTTCTTAGGTTGTTGGCACTTAGCTCTTCCAACCCCTTTAATGCAGATGATCATATGTTGAATACAGTTATCATGTATTGCATATGTAGAATCAAAAGGTAGTTTATTGAACCTCTTTATAAAGAAATCTTATTGTACTTTCAGGATCATAATTTTTTATTACTCAAATGTGGTTATCTCTAGGTTTTTTGTTTGTGTTTTTTCTTTTTCAGGTGTACCTGAACTTAAGGACTTGGTGGACATCACAAAACAGCCTGTGGTCTACCTGACGGAAATCTTAAAAGAAATTGGTATTCAGAATGTGAAAGGGATCCACAAAAACACATGGGAGCTGAAGCCAGAGTATAGACATTATCAAGGAGAAGAAAAGAGTGATTAAGAAGACTCCAAGCCAGCATGCTAACAGAACAACTAAGGGTGATGTGTTAAGCATACGGCATTGATACTTGAACTTGAGCACCATGTGTTATAGGGGCAAAATGACTGAAACTTTAATTTCTCTAGGTACATTTTTTAAACAATAATTCTTAAAAAATTACTGAAGTGGTTTTTTTTGGTGTGTTTTTTTTTTTTGAGGAGAAATAACAAACTTATTTATAGACTTAACTTGTATTAAACTAGATTATTCATGATGGGGTTAGGAGTTGGGGGTTAAGAGGTTCTGTAATTAAAGCAAATCAAGGAAATAACTATCCATTGAGATAAATATTTTTCTGTATTATTCATTTTCTTAACAGAACACTAGAATGCTGAGGTTGAGTACCACTGTACTAGGAAAATTTTTATCATTGCATAAACTTTGCAAAGTAAAATTCTGATTAAGGAAGATGGTCTTATTTCCTACCCTGCCTCCAGTTGTCTTATCCTGCATTGTTCTGGTGCAGGAACCAAATCTTGTTTCACCATTGCCTTCCAGTTCCTAATTATTTGAGGCTGAGTGTCAAGAAGCAGATAGATAAAGGTGTGATAAATCTGTATACAACTGATAATTCTGGATGCCTGTCATGCTTGGTTTGTAGCACATATCTTCCCCCAAACCCTGTCTTTTTATGTGTAGACTGCCCTGAGACACCTGGGTCATCTACCCCTGCCTTTTGTTTTTGTGGTGACAGTGTCTGCCAGATGCAGTGTTCCCAGCAGAGCTATGTCATTTGAAGTTATGCTTTGGTATTTCTTCAAACCTGGTTTTTTCAGCTTAATTTTAGTTACCTTTTACCTCATCACACTATCTGCTTGAGTTTTTTAAACACTTAGTTTTGAGTTTCTTAAACACTTGTTACCTTTTCTATAGGATAGCTAATCTATGTGGTAGACTGGTGTCATTCCTGATTAATTTTTTGGAATTGCTTTCTCATTCAATACTAAAATATGGCTGTTGGTCATGGAAGAGACTCCCTTCGACCTGGGTTTCCACGTTCTTTTATTTCAGGACTCTCTAGCTCTGATAAACATGCTTTTGACCACTGTGAGATTGAAAGGAAGGCTGATATACATCTGGCAAGATGTCACATCATGAGGGTAGAAAGGCCATATTTAATAGATGAGATTGTTAAACTCAGCCAGTACACGGGATGTTTTAATTGTCAAAATCTATGTAATAAGATTATAGTTGCTGGGCAATGGCAAGATTTGAAATTACATGTTGCCACAGTAACTTCTAAAGAGATAAATCTTAAAAAATTTAAAAAAGGTTTGCTCTATTGTATCATAAGCAGGCCATGTGGATTTCAGCAGAGTTGCAGTTGTTCCTAATGGTCTGTGAACAAATTTTCTTTGAAGCATATTTTGTTCATTGTTGATACATATCAGTGAAATGAGAAGAAACATTTTTCAGGTCCTTATGTGCCTGATAGTGTGTTAAATGCTCTAAAATATCTCATTGAATCCTTAGAAATAATGCTGAGAGATAATGTCCATTTTATAGAACCTTTTCCTACTCAACATACATACCTTCATAAGTACTGAAAGAATCCTGCCCTTGAGGCAAAGCGAGTGCCCGGGTGTACTTTCCCAGAATCCGCCCCCGCCCTAACACCCCCAGTCTCACCTCCAAACCAGGAAAGTGGTGCAGACCACAGAGTTGTGAAGGAGAGGGAGTTTGGCATCCCTACTTGAATTCAGACATCTAAACGTCCCTACCCACCAGATGAAGACTAACCTCCCCTTTTAAAGTCAAGATCCTTTTGCTAAAGTTTTAATTCCTATCATGCTTCAAGTACCCGGGTGGGGTGTGTGACTTTATTAGACACCCCCATAGGACTTAAGGAGCCCAGGGGCAGGTGGCAGGGGGGTGGGGCACTGAGCTGAAGGGGAACTGCCTTATGTTCAGCCTTCACTTGCTGCAGACACCCTTTTCGTCTCAATACATTGGCCATCTTCCCTCTCATTTGTATAAGGGTCCAGGATAAGCTGCTTCCCTTCTTTATGGTGTTTTCTTTCTGACATGTGTCCAGAGCAGGTTCCTGAGCCTAATATCATTTTAATGTAAGGTGCAAGAGAAAGTATCAGAGATCGCTTTTTGAACCTGATTTTCTTCACATATTCCCATTCATTCTTCCTACTTTCCTTTGAGCAGGTGCCACCATCCACAACACAATAGTATGATGTAACATCTGACAGACAAGCAATAAAAGTCTTCAATAGTTTATTATAAAAAAAATCACAGCTTTAGCCCTAACCGGTTTAGCTCAGTGGATAGAGCCTCGGCCTGCGGACTCAAGGGTCCCAGGTTCGATTCCGGTCAAGGGCAGGTACCTTGGTTGCGGGCACATCCCCAGCAGGGAGTGTGCAGGAGGCAGCTGATGGATGTTTCTCTCTCATCGATGTTTCTGACTCTCTATCCCTCTCCCTTCCTCTCTGTAAAAATCAATAAAATATATTTTTTTAAAAAATCACAGCTTTATCCTGCCAGTGTGGCTCAGTTGGTTGGATGTTGTCCTTTGTACCACAAGGTTGCAGGTTGGATTCCTGGTCAGGACACTTGCCTGGGTTGCGGGCTCAATCCTCCGTAGGGGCATGCAGGAGGCAGCTGATCAGTGTTATGTTGTCACATAGATCTTTCTCTCTCCTTCTACCTTCCTCTCTCTCTCTAAAAAAAAATCAATAAACTATTCTGTAAAAAAAAATAGAAATGAACAGCTTTTATCTGATATTGTTAGAAATCATCTAAACTTTTTAGTTGCTTTAGCTTACAGTTTAGAGTAGATTTTGTAAAGTCACTTAGTCTTAAATTTTAGGGTTTTAAAGAATGATTTTCCTAAAATATATCATATTTTTAAATGTTGAAATTTGTATTTATAAGATCTTAAGAACATACAAGTTTTTTATTGTTTTGTGGAAATGTAAGTACACCAAAAGCATATGTTGCTGGACCAAAAACTTTAATCTGGTATGGTAATGGAACATGATGGCTGTTAATTAGGCAATTATTTATTGACCATGAATATATTCCAGGCACAGTGAATATAAAAGCACTACGCATAAGAGGTATTCACAGTCTAGTGAGAACTACAAAAGGTAGACAGGGAACAATACGTGTGGGTAATAAAGTATGAACTAAGTGTTGCAATCAATCAAAATATTCCAGTTAATTCATCATGGCCATTTAGACTCTACATGGATTTCCAAATTTTAAAGCATTTGAATACAGTAATATCTACTTAATTTTAAAACTTCCTTGAATAATTTATCAGTAATTATTCATTGATAATTTATAAGCACAAAAGGATTTATATAATGTCTAGGAATCATTATTATGAATTTATGTAGTGGCTGTTTTTAATACATTGGTCTCATTAATAGAATGCCAAATTTTGAGTTTATTGTGCTTGTCCTCTTGACATTGAAGCCTTACTTCTGATTGCCATTCTAGTTTCTCTCCTTGAATAAAAGCCTATGAACCACTTTGGCCATTCATTCATCTGGTGGAAATCCACTGAAATGCCCACTGTGTGCCAGGCAGTAGGGGTAACGGTGATGGGTGCTTGTGGTAATGTGCCTTATGTGCTACCAGTTTTTTGCCTACTTTACTAAGTAAGCAGGAAGAATAATAGCCTGTGTTTGTTGGACCCTTGCTATGTGCCAGGCACTGCTAAGTATTTGATTCATATGACTCAGTTAATCCTCATGGCAACCCTGCAACATAGGTTTTCTTATTACCCTTGTTTTATAGAGGTCCCGGTACTAAGAGGTTAAAGAGCCAAGGTCATATAGTGGTCAGGGTCAGAGCCAGATTCAGATCCCAGAACAGCACTCCGGAGTGCAGGTCTTTAATTGCCTGTGTGTATATAGGTCATGGGGGCTATCTGCTGATTTCCCACAGCTGTAGTTTACCTGTCCAGAGTCTATCATATTTGAATTTGTTGTTGTTGTTTTAGTTATTATTATTGAGATATAATTTACATATCTCTTTTACATTTGACTTCTCCTCACTAACTAATAGGTAGCAGAATCTCAAGAGTTATCACTCCTGAATCAAAAAGAGTTGAGCCCTAGGCGGTTTGGCTCAGTGGATAGAGCAGCCTGTGGACTAAAGGGTCCCCAGTTTGATTCCGGTCAAAGGCACATGCCTGGGTTGATGGCGTGTGGGAGGAAGTCAGTGATTCTCACTCATTGAGGTTTCTATCTCTCTCTTTCTCTCCCTTCCTCTCTAAAAAAAAATAGTTGATTCTGGATACTAATTGAATTGTTTTGACTTTAGAGATTTGGTTTCTTTTTTTTTAAATATATTTCATTGTTTTCCCACAGAGAGAAAGGGAGAGGGACAGAGAGCCAGAAACATGATGAGACAGAAACATCGATCAGCTGCCTCCTGCACACTGGGTATGTGCCCGCAACCAAGGTACATGCCCCTGACCGGAACCGAACCTGGGACCCTTGAGTCCGCAGGCCGATGCTCTATCCACTGAGCCAAACCGGCTAGGGCTAGAGATTTGGTTTCTAATTCTTTTTCAAGTTCTGGAGTTTCTTATTGTAGAATGATGTTCCTTTTTTCCCCTCTAGATTCAGATGAGCTGTTTTCCAAAAATGATTGCAAATGGCCAATGTACTTTATTTACTTACATCCTAGGCCACCCAGGGAATGTTCAAGCCCAGGCTCATGAGAAAGTTTCTGACTGGGCTGGTCACAGTTGAGGCTATCTGCCATGGCTGAGTGAGCACTCAGGACATCCATTAGCTTGAGACTGCCAAGTGTGGGAACATAGAGATGAACAAATAAAACGGTCTTTTTGCTTTCAGGAACTCCCAACATTGAAAAGGACTTTGAAAAAAAAAAAAAGAAAAGAAAAGGACTTTGAAACAAAATAAATGGCAGCCTAGTGTATTAAGTGCAGCAATAGAAATACCTGGATTGAAAGCCTGTGACTTAGAGCAAGTTGTTTACCATCTGTGCCTTAATTTCCTCATCTGCAACATGGGAATATTAAGAGTATCTATCACCTGGCTGGTGTGGCTCAGTTGAGTGTCATCCCATATACCAAGAGGTTGCCGGTTTGATTCCCAGTCAGGACACATGCCTGGGTTGCAGGCTCATCCCCAGGGGAGGGGGAGCATGCAGTAGACACCCGAGCAATGTTTCTCTCTCATCGATGTTTCTATCTCTCTCCCTTCCTCTCTCACTAAAAATCAACAAAAATGTGTTTAAAAAAAAAAAAGAGTATCTAGCCTAGAGTATCTAGCCCTAGCTGGTTTGGCTCAGTGGATAGAGCATCAGTCTGCAGACTGAAGGGTCCTGGGTTTGATTCCGGTCAAGGGCACATGCCCAATTGCGGCTCAGTCCCCAGTAGGGGGTGTGCAGGAGGCAGTCGATCAATGATTCTCTCATCATTGATGTTTCTATCTCACTCTCACTCTCCCTTCCTCTCTGAAATCAATAAAAATAGGTCAATGGGGGGGGCGGGGAGGCGACATATGTACTACTATCTGTAATACTTTAAACAATAAAATAAAATTTTTTAAAAAAAGAAAAAACTACAAAAATATTTTTTTTTAAAAAGTACCTATCTCATAGAATTGTAGTGAAAATTAAATTAAGTAAGTCAATATACGTAAAGCTCTTAAAACACCATGACACATAGAAACTACTTTATCAGTATTAGCTTTAACATATACAAAATATGTAAAATATGGAACTAGCACAGAGAATGAAATGATTAATTACATCTTTGGGGAATCAGGAAAGCCTTAGAGGAGTTAGTATCTGAAGTGGGTTTTGAAGGGGTCTAGGAGTTTACTAACTGTCAGGAGGCAGGAAATACAGAAAGAACAAGTGCAAGGGCATTAAGGGAGCAGCCTTACTTCACAGGGTAGTTGGAGTGAGAGTCCACACACACCTTCGGTATACAATTGATCCCCTATTTCCAACATGTTTTTTCACTTCCAGTGATACATACTGCTCCATGTCTACCCATTGGGTGTGAGGGTTAGGGGATACTTTAAGTCCTGCCATCACGGAGGAACGTTTCCCTGGAGAAAATGTAAGCCAAGAGGATAGAACGCACTCCATCAGATGTTTCCTGAATTTCACCCTGCTGCATCCTCGGCGCCACCCTAGGTGCTGGGGTCGGGAAGCCAGGGGCACCAAGTGAGACTTGGTCCTCATCTTGCATTACACTGCCCAGGTGTCTACAGATTGCTCCTGTCAGAACAAGGTGAGAAGCTGGTCAGGGCCTGTTTACAGTGTTAGAGGGCTGCTCTTTTGCCTTGAGAAATTCTAGGATTAACAGGTAAATTCCATCTCCAAAAGGGAAGAGATGTGTATAGAGATGGAGGCCTTGAATTGTATCCACCAGGAGAAGTCCACAAAGCCAAAAATGGAGTGAGTCATACTCCCACAATAAATGTGGGAAATGAATATCACTTCTTTGATTTGCTAAATGCTTGAGAAAGCAATTTTGAATAATTATTTCCTACAGTAGTAGAGAGGTAAGAAATCTGCTGTTTTCAAAGCAGAGAAAACCAAGGCAAGTTCCAGACCCTGTCACAGTGGAACTGTTGGAAAAGCTGAAGCTAGAACTCAAGTCAGCTTGAGCCGAAGCTTTCCTAGTGTTGCTAGCCCAGCAGCATGCACTTTCTCAGGTCTCCTGCCTTATCTCCATGGAGCCAGGATCTGAGAGGAGAGCAAGTGGGCCAGCCTCGCAGTGAACCAGGCAGATGGGCCTGTTCAGTTGCCGCTTCTGGAGCTAGTGAGTACTTATTACTCACCCAGCTTTATGTCCTCTTAGAAAATAAAACCCTTAATCACCTTCAGACAGCATTGGCAGGTGAAGCCTTAAAAATGTCAAACAGTCAGCTCGGAAATCACATTTTGTTAACCACCCACACAGAGATTCATCTGAAAGTCTACAGACCTCAGCCTGCAAGCTTAGTGTATTGAAATGAAAACACCTCTGCTTTGTGGATGTCTCAAGGAGCATGCAGTTGAAAATGGATACCAAGGAATCGACTGGGAGAGGACAGAAGAGAAAAACAAGATTATTTTAAGTAACTTTTTTTAAAGCACTTTTCAGTTGGGCCCAATTGGTTGATTTCCTCATAGAAAAAATAAGAATATGTCAATCAAGGCTAGAGCATCACATGTGCTAGAAAAGACAAGTGAAGAAGCCAGGAAGTTAGAACTGGGGTTCACATTCTCCATCGTGCCTAATACTGACTGTATTTTTGCCAGGTTTTTTAGTCAGTTGCTGTCACCAGTAATCTGGGATGGAGAAACTTGTGGTTTAGGGGAAGTGGCTGGAGAGAGCTGATTAGCAGAAAAGGGTATCAGTACTTGTTGAGAGGTTGGTGATGATCTTTAATGTCCTTCTGGTTTTAAGGTTCTGTCATTTGCCCTGGCCGGTGTGGCTCAGTTGGTTGAGCATCATCCCATGCACCAAGAGGTCACTGGTTCGATTCCCAATCAGGGCACATGCCCGGGTTGCAGACTCAATCCCCAGTAAGGGGTGTGCAGGAGGCAGCCGATTGATGTTTCTCCTTCATTGATGTTTCTCCCTTCCTCTCTCTAAAATCAATAAAAATGTATTTAAAATTTTTTTTTAAGATTCTGTAATTCTAAACCGTGGTCCTGGCCAAACTTGCCTGTCAGTCTTGCCCATCCCACACTGGAAAGGGGTTTGTTTCATTATCCTCACTAGGGGCTTCTACTCGTGGCACAGGCCCAGCTGCAACTCACGCTGACTCATACACATCAACATCCTGCTGTTGACAGGATGGCAGGCACTAGACAGGCGTGTGTGTTCCAGAAAAAAACATTCACCACTTGACTTCGTAACATCACCTGCTCCCTGCTGCTAGTCCTCCTGCTTCCACACACTCTTGCATGCACTCTGAAGTATTTGTCTATCACCATTCTTTACTCCATCCTACTCAGGGTTCTCGGTTGTAAGAGGGAGAAATCCACTCAAGTTGACTCAGGGATAGGAAGGACAGCCCTCCCAGGGACTGGCCCTTCCCTGCCTCTCTCAGGGGCTGCTTGGTCTTTGTCATTGGCCTGCTTCTGTTCACCTACTTTCTACTGCAGATTGGCTTCCTGGTTCCACACAGTTCATGTTCCCCCATAACTTCAGTATGCACTTTGCTTTGTCTTGACACGGCGCCAGCTCTGGCCTCAATTTTATATCACTTTTCAGTTCAGCTTCCCACAGCTGGCTGACTCTAATTCTGGATCCCAGCTCTGGATTTCCCAGAAGAATCTGATTGCTGCCTTAGGGCAGATGTCCACCCCTAATCTGGTCAGTGAAGAGAAGCATGTATGGCCACAGAGACCCCCTCCAGTGGTGGCTATGGCTGTAGGGGGCAGGAGTGGTTCCCAAGGAAGGGCTTATGTCTGGGAGCACTCCAGAAAGTGACCGCAGTACCCTCCAACTGAGCCAGTTATTCCCAGATGTGCAATACAAGTATTCTGAAGTCACATTTTGGTAACCATCAGGCCATCATTCCATTGTATTCCTCTCTAGTTAAGAAACCTACAACTAAAGAGATAATAAGAGTACTAGGGGAAAGGTTCGCCAGTGAATTCAAGGAAATGGTGAAAACTCTGAGGAAAAGGCCCTCCAGTGATTCCCATGTAGTGGTAGAAGAACAGAGTGCTCAACCAATAGAAGAAAAAAGGATCGTGTTTATATACAAGTTCAGCATATAAAGGGCTAATGCACTGGGTGAATAATAAGATGCAAGAGACTAAATTGCAGTTAAAGCAAGAGTTAACCTACCATTATACACACACGATTAGCAGCAATTTAAAAGTACTTGGTTCCCAGCTCTAAAAAGGTTGAAATAATGTGTTAACTTACACACTGCTATGTGCACTGAAAAAGCACTTTGAGCATCTTGGAGAACTTACAGTGATTTCTCTCCCTACTCTACAGACACAAAAACACAGATACAGAAAAGGTAAACCATTAACATCGCCGCCTGCTAGTGGCAGAGCTGGGCTAGTGCATATACCCTCCCAGCCAGGGCCCTCTCCAGCCTCAGGGTTCTCGGCCTGTCTGATTATTGGAACCATATGGGTTGGGTGGTAAAATGCAGACTGCTAGGCACTACCTGAAGGCACTAAACATCCCTTGGGAGGAGGCCCTACTTCTATCCTAATATATAAAGAGCCAGGGTCCGTCACGACCAAAACGACTGGACGGACAACCGAACAGTGGGCCCCAGGCCACTGAGGCATGGTAGCGAGAAGGGTCTGTGGGCTCCAGTCCGCTGGGACATGGCGGTTGGAGGTATCTGTGGGCCCCAGGCCACCAGGCGTGGCGGCAAGAAGGGTCTGCGGGCCCCAGGCCGCTGCAGTGCGGCAGAACTCTGGGTCTCGTGCAATCGGGGGCATGGCCACCTTCAAACCAGACCCTGACAGGAGGGAGGAGAGAGCCCCATTCCTTGAAGAATCATCCATTGATCAGCTTGCTGTCAGTGGCCTGCCAACCAGAAATCGCATTCCCCTGCACCCCGGACCCTAAAATATTTCCTCAATTAATTCCCTTTGAACGTGCATGAATTTTGTGCACCGGGCCACTAGTATTTTTATAAAGCTCCGCAGTTCTGATGATCAACCAGGTCTGGAAACAATTGCATTCACTAATATTTTCAACCAGAAACTAATAAAGGGTGGACGTGTTTTCCTGGCCATGAACAGCCTGAAAAGTATCAGGCTTTTCTGGAAAACACAGTGGTATCTTCCTTTTACACATCACACTCCATAGCCTGCGCTGAGAACTCGGAATGAATCCACGCTGACACTGACCTGGACCCCTTGTGAGAAGCCCCTGCCCTCATCTGAAGCCCAACGGTGTGAGTACTTATCCCCAGCAGGGACTGGGAGTGTGCTGTGGGAAGAGTTTGTAAAGTGGCTCAGCGCCTGCCACATAATATGTTTAATGTGTTTATTGTTAACTCTCTTTCTGGAGCTACTGTCACTGATGATAAGATAACTTGAATTTCACATCTTTTATTTCTGGCTTTTTCACAGGAAATAGCCAAAACTATTAACAGGGATGAAAAAACTCAGGACCTAGGAAAACCAATATTGGCTAATGACAGTTGTTTTTATCAAACAGACCAAATGGTAACTCCAGTTTGGGATAAAACAAAGGTAAATATTGACTGGTCCTGAAGCCCTTGCTAACTGGTTTAGAACCCTGTGTGTTCAGGTGCCCCAAGACCAGATCTCCCTCCCCCCTTCCCCCTTGCACCCACCCACCCCAGGGCCATCAGAGCAGGCAAGAGTTCTGTCCACCCCTGCATAGCCAGCCCTGTATCCCCCTTCTCCCCCCCACATCCTGGTTTTCCTGATTAGGTCCCTCCTTAGGCTGAGTGTCCCAGTGTAAACTGAGAGGAAGGAGTACTTTTGCCATGAGCATGAAGTTACCCTTGAAAATACCAGTCCTGTCATTTGGGGTTTTAGGTCTCTAGGTTCTTTCTCTTACAAGGTCTACTCCAATTTCCTTGCCCTTCAAGGTTCAGCTTCTACGTTTGAGAAGATGAGAACACAAAGAATAGATGGAGAAAACACTTTTTCATGGTCACTCCTTGGAAGATAGGCACTTTGAATCATACCTTAAGTCCTATGCCCTTTGGGGTACTCCAAGCATGTCAAACTCAAAGGCTAACATGGGCCAAATAAACAAGGTTTAAGTTTATGTGGGCTGCAAAAAAACAAAACCTTCAATTTTCATAGAAACGTGGGTTTATTTCAATAGAGACATGCTGAATACAAAGGGCTGAAATAAATGAGTAATCCTATTTAATAATAGACAAACATGGTAATTGACCATACCTTCGCTATGCCTCCCATTGGCTAATCAGTGAGATATGCAAATTAACCCAACCAAGATGGCGGCCAGCAGCCACACAGCTGAAGCGAGCAGGAGGCTTGCTTGCTCCAGTGATGGAGGAAGCCAAGGTTCCCTGCCTGCCGCGGGCCAGCTCTGAGCTCAGAAAGCAACAAAGTTTCAATTATAGAAGCTAAACAAACCCCAGATACCTGCTTTCAGCCGGCAGTGGCCACGGAGCTGGAGCCGGCTCGCAGCTCCAGTGACAGCAACAAAGTTTCAATTATAGAAGGTAAATAAATCCCAGAATAAAAAGAAAAAAAGGAGAGGCTTGGAGCTTCAGTCGCCAGCCAGCCTGAGAACGGCCATCAGTCCCTCATCCAGGCTGGCCAGGCACCCAAGCGGGACCCCCACCCTGATCCGGGACACCCTTCAGGGCAAACCAGCCGGCCCCCACCCATGCACCAGGCCTCTATCCTATATAGTAAAAGGGTAATATGCAAACTGACCCTAACAGCAGAAAGACTGGGAATGACTGGTCACTATGACACACACTGACCACCAGGGGGCAGACACTCAATGCAGGAGCTGCCCTCTGGTGGTCAGTGCGCTCCCACATGGGGGAGCTCTGCTCAGCTACAAGCCAGGCTGATGGCTGCCAGTACAGCGGTGGTGGTGGGAGCCTCTCCTGCCTCGGCAGCACTAAGAATGTCCGACTGCAGCTTAGGTCTGCTCCCCGCTGGCAAGTGGACATCCCCCGAGGGCTGCCGGGCTGCCAGAGGGATGTCTGATTGCCAGCTTAGGCCCAATCTCCCGGGGAGCAGGCCTAAGCCAGCAGGTGGTCATCCCCCGAGGGGTCCCAGACTGCGAGAGGGCACAGGCCAGGCTGAGGAACCCCCCCCCCCAAGAGCACAAATTTTTGTGCACCGGGCCTCTAGTCGTTAGCATAAAATAATAGAACACTTTAATAAAAATTAATGTTTTTTTCTTTAACATTAATTTACCAGACACTGAATAACTGCACAATTTAATAAGCGTAACGCAAATAAACCTATTTTTCTTGTTCTCCGAAAGCAAAGTATTTCCTGTTGCGCACACCAAACAAGTCAGTCCAAGACTAATGACGTGGCAATCGGTTGCTAAAATATTCGCTGCTAGTATTAGTGGAGAGAAATGGTGCGCCTGTGCGTAAGGGGCGTAGGGGAAATGAATGCAACATGATTATAGTAATCAGTCATTAGCGAACATTGTAGTTCATTATTAATAATTATGTATAACAGGATATTGTAAAAATTAAGTTACAAAATTTTTATTAAAATGTTTCTTACATACCGTTATATTGACTGGGCCGGAAAAATATTCATTGTGGTCCGCATGCGGCCCATGGGCTTCGAGTTTGACATGCTTGGGGTACACAGTGGTGAAAATTAGAAGGGCATATGATACTCAGAGTTCTTACTGGGTTTTTGCCTTAATTTGCTTTGGTGAGATACACCTCATTGGATAACAGAGGGGGCACATTTTTGTTTTGGTACAACAGCTTATTTCTTATAACTTAAACCAGCTTGATCTGAGAAGTTGTTCCAGGTCTTTTTTTTTTAATGATGAATAAATCTTTTGAAAACAACTGTTTGCTGCCTTCCATCCTGAGCTGAAATGAGTGCACAGCTCTGTTATTTACCAAAGTGGAGGCTACACCTACACAGCATCTACTTTTGGGCTTGGAGAGGGTGGTAATGCTGCAGCTCATGAAGACGGACTTGCCAAGTTAATTTAAATTGGTGTGAAGAGCAATTCCAGTATGCTGGCTGACAACACTCAGACTGACCTCAGAGCTGGAGATGGTGAACAATAGCATTGTACAGTTGAGAGCAAGCTGTGCAATCAGCCTGGGATGGTTTTTCTAAGCATCTTTTTCAAGGACCTGACAAAGGAAATTTAGAAGCTCCATCAGTCAGACCTGTGGGTGCTTCATTTCGTTATCCTAGCACCTGGCAGTGTCCCCTCACTTGGTACAGAGAGATGATAATGGATGAAGAAACCACCCATTCCTCCAGAGTGGGAAAGGAAGGAGGAAAGGGGGGGGCGGGGGGCGGGATGTGCTGGGCTGAGAAGTTAGCAGTTACCTGGAGGGTTTTGACTATTTGTGTAAAGGGAAGTCGGAGGTCTCAGAATGACTATTTAGCTCAGGCCCATTTCAGAATTAGAAATTAGAAGGGCTTAAAGAAATTAGAGGATATATTCAAATTAACGATTATTAAAAGCATAACTCCTAACTGCACTACTGTAGCTTATCATGTACAGAGAAGGTGAACCATGCCCACTCAGAAAATTGAGGTCACTTAAAACTTTCTATGCAGATGAAGGGAGTTTGAATAGAAAGAGCATAGGTTCTGGGCAGGAACACTGGTTCATTTTAGCTGTTTCTCTGCATTTCATTTCTTGCTTATAAAGGGTACTACTAAAGTGCCTACCCTATGTTGTTTATTGTAAGAATAAAGCAGTACTTTAATCTGTAAAATAATATGCAAATGTTAATTATTTTATTGGTGTGGGCACTTTGAGTTGCAGATGACAGAAACTCAAACTGGCTTAAGCAAAAAACCATCTGCCTCATGGTCCCTAATATAAGGGATAAAAATGCAATGGTGGAGTTTACAGGCCCATGTCTGTACACACCTTCCACAGTGTTATAATGTATTGAAGGCTTACCGATATGGAACTAAGCCATGCTCTCCAGAACACCACATTCTGAGACCGATTTAATACAAGTACTGAGCTTACAAAACCTACAGGACTGGTGGTTAGCATGCCCCCTGCATTGTCTTTCTCAAATCATGCTTTTAGAGTCCTGTCTTCCTCAGTGGTGTCACTCTGCTAGCAAACATGTTCAAGGGAACAATTGAGAATTCTTGCTATATTTTAAATTTCCTTCTTCAAAAAATGATGCTAGAGTAACATGTTACAGGAAGATGTGAGAATTGTAAAGTAGTGGCACTATCAGAACTCATAGGCCCTGGGGAAGAATTTGTGTGATTGGAACTGCTCCGGGAGCTCCGTCAGCTTGGCCTGGCCAGTCAGAAGGGGGATGCAGGAGGGAGTAGGTGAGGGGAGACATATACTGCCAGATGAAGGCCACATGTGTATCGCTTCCCACTAAATTGTGACCACCTCCTACCAAGTTGGAATTTGTCTTTTTTGGCGGGGAATTTGGAATTAGTGTTGCCCCCTTCATCTAGCACTGTGCTTGGCACACAAGACAAATTTAATAAATACTTGTTAAGTGAATAAAGTGATAAGTAACAAAGTTGAAAACTAAGATGGAAATGGACAAGAAGAGTAGAACAAAGATGTTCTGAAGAAAGCAGTAATCAGAATTAGTATTGCGTATAGGATATGAAGGAGAAGAAAGATCCAAAGTGAAATAATGATAATGGGTTATTATTTATTTATTATGAATTAACATAGAAAAGCACTGACAAATTCCATCTGGACTTGATGAGTCTGAGCTGCAATAAGGGCACAAAAGTTCAAGATGTGGAACTAGAGATCTGGAGTCAGTGCCATAGAGGTGACAATTGTATTACAGATGTTTCCCTCCCCTCCCCACCCTCCTCCACCCGTTTCCCACCCCACACCAGGCCTTCACCACCCTATTGTCTGTGTCTATAGGTAATGCATATATGCATGTAAGTTATTTGGTTAATTTCTTCCTGCCTCCCTACCCCCCTCCCTCTGAGATTCCTCAGTCCCATGTTTTTATGCCTCTGGTTCTATTTTATTCATCAGTTTATTTTGTTCATTAGATTCCTTGTTTGTTTATTTTGATTTTTAGATTCAATTATTGATAGATATATATTTATTGCCTTTATATTGTTCATATTTTTTATCTTTTTTCTTCTTCCTCTTAAAGAATACCCTTCAGCATTTCATATAATCCTGGTTTGGTGATGATGAACTCCTTTAGCTTTTTCTTGTCAGTGAAGCTCTTTATCTGACCTTCAATTCTAAATGAGAGCTTTGCTGGGTAGAGTAATCTTGGTTGTAGGTCCTTGCTATTCATCATTTTGAATATTTCTTGCCACTCCCTTCTGGCCTGCAAAGTTTCTGTTGAGAATCAGCTGACAGTTGTATGGGCGCTCCCTTGTAGGTAACAAAATGCTTTTCTCATGCTGCTTTTTTTTTTTTTTTGAAATGGGTCCAAGGCCTCTGTCTTGAGACCTGGGAAGCCAGGCCAGGCTTATTATTATTATTATTATTATTATTATTATTATTATTATTATGGATTTCAGAGGGGAAGGGGGAGAGAGAGAGATAGAAACATCAATGATGAAAGAGAATCATTGATCGGCTGCCTCCTGCACGCCCCCTACTGGAGATTGGGCCCGCAACCCAGGCATGTGCTCTTGACTAGAATTGAACCCAGGACCCTTCAGTCCGCAGGCCAACACTCTATCCACTCAGCCAAACCAGCCAGGGCTCTTATGCTGTTTTTAACATTCTCTCTTTGTCCTTAACCCTTGGCATTTTAATTATGATGTGTCTTGGTGTGAGCCTCTTTGGATTCCTCTTGTTTGGGACTCTCTGGGCTCCTGGACTTGTAAGTCTATTTCTTTCACCAGGTAAGGGAAGTTTTCTGTCATTATTTCTTCAAATAGGTTTTCAATATCTTGTTCTGTCTTCTCCTTCTGATATCCCCATAATGCAAATGTGGTTATCCTTGAAGTTGTCCCAGAGGCTCCTTACACAATCTTCATATTTTTGGATTCTTTTTTCTTTTTGCTCTTCTGATTG